TTAAATTATAAGCTGTTATTATTAATTGATAAATTTGTGTTATAGTATTAATATCTGTTAAATTGTATTTATTAATTCGATATTTATTAAAAAGTATCTGATAAGTTTCAACAAATTCTTGTTAAAATATAATTAATTAATTGATTATAATCAGAACAATATTGATGATAATAATTTGTAGTCATTTTAATTTACATTAATAAAAACTTAGCTGGTAAAATTACTAGCTAAGTATATTTTATTAAATAAAATATAAATAATAAATACAAAATAAAATTAAATATAATCTAAATAAAGTTAAGAACAATGTGTTTCTAAATGATTACCACCACAATGAGAACAAAATTTTTTTCTATTGATAGAATTGTATTTATACTGTTAAGTTTTTGTTCATTTATAAAAAGAACTACAGTATCATTACAAATTTTTCCTTTATAATTATGAATAATATCATAATTATTTGTAAAATATTTGCATTTGGCAAATTATGTAACTTTGCCTTGTTTATTTTTTTATAATGGATATGTATATCCACATATGAATATACATTCATATTCAATTTTTTTACATACTGCACAACATTCATGTGTGAATTATTCTTGACAATTCCAACATCTTCCTTTGTTTAATCCACTTTGGTATTAATGTTTTGTATTGATAGAATTGAGATTATTTGCATTTTGAAAAAAATAATATTTATCTATTTGGGGATTTAGAGTAAGATATGTGGATATGCTTTCAAAATTAAATATTTGAGTCTTTGGTGCCAAATATTGTTGTTCATCTAGATTATTGAAAATATCCTCAATGATTGAAATTGCATTTGAATAACTAATTTCTTTAAGTAATTGTAATAAATTTTCTCGGAAGACTATTTTTTTTTATGTAGAAAAAAATCTACTCTGTTTTAAACTAAGCAAATGGTGATTCAGATTGATATTTTGGTGAAACAGGCTAATATTCTTTGATTTTTTCTAAACAAGCATTTAGATCTGTTTTAATTTCTTTGGCAATAGGTACTTGTTTTTTCTTTTTACTTTTATGAAATACATACTGTTTAAATTCATATAAAAGTTTAATTTCATCTTTGTAAATTGTTGTACCTGTATCTTTAAAGCTTTTAATCTAAAAAAATATATCATAATTAAGTTTGTAAGTACGAAAATATCTTTTAAATCACATAAGCAATCCTTTTTTTAACATTTTGCTTAATTTTTCTTTTTCTGGAAGAGACTTATTAACACTTTGTAACAACTTGTAATAATAACACCTTTGACTAAATGGATACTGATTATCTCTATGCCGATTATCATATTGCCAACGTTGTGGTTCAAATTCACGTTTGTTAAAACATTTGCATTGAAAAAAATTAAAAAATTTAATATGCTGGCTATGCTCCAACATATCAAATTTTTCTTTAAAATTTCATTTTGAATATTGAATTACATATGAACGTTCAAAATCAATATTCCACCAAGCAATTGAATTTTTAATAATAAATGATTCATGAACAATTTTATAGTTAATTAGAGAGAATCGAACAAAATGTGTAGTAATATTTCTATTAAAAGACATTTTAAGAAACAATTTTGTTTCTCAAATGAATATCTGTAGCGTAGCTAACTGTATTCATTATCAAATCAGAACTGATTCGATGTTGAACTTGGTATTTTTTTATGGCTTTTTATAGGCAATTTTCAATAGACCAAAAAAACTAAATTTTTTTCTTCTCTCAAAGACATTAATTTCATTAATTATTTTTATTCAAATTAGGAATTACTATAACAAGTACATAATAAAATTAATATATATACATATAATTTAATTAATTAAACCTAATTTAGAATTGCTAATTTAAGTATAAAATAAACAATATAAAAAATTACATATTTAGAATAAAATAATAAATTAAAAAAAATTATAAGATACCATATATTAAAGAATATTTTTTTAAAAATGGTCTTACCTACTGAATTAGTAGAAAGAATCTTTGAATATATTTGTATTTTATCTATCTATGATACAAATATTCATAATATTTTATCAAAATGGCATCTAAAAAGAATTTCAATAGACTTTGTTTAGTTAATTATTATTTTAAAATACATTTTGAAAATACTTTTATCAAAATCTTTTCTGAATATACAAATATTAAAATTGAAAAACAATTAAATAATCTTGCTTTAAAATATATTCAACTTCATTATAACAGAGGTTTTTTTTACAAAACTAATAAATTTATCAGAACAATAGAAAATTTTTCATTTTGGAAAATTATTTTATTAAATAGTATTATTTTGAACCAACATAAATCAAATGAATTATTTTCAGATTTGTTTATTAGAATCGGATGTTTTCAATATTTTAACATGGTCTGGAAATATAATTTTTCTGAAACATGTTATTGTGAAATTAATAATAATGATTTGTATAAATCAAAAGATGGAAAATATTAGTATTTTACATGTAAAAAATGTAAATATTATCATATAGTAGCTAATTCTAATGTTTTAATAAAACAATAAAAAAGAAAATTCATTAAATAAAATTTATTTTAATATATCAGAAAACAATTTTTCAACATATTCATCAATTTTTTTATCTATTGCATCTTTAAATATTTCTTTAAATTCTTTAGTAATTTTAATAGATTTTTTATTATTTGTTGTTTCTTTCTTAGATTTTGATGCTTTTTTCTTCTTTAGTGGTTTTGGATCTTTATGATTAGCAATTAAATATTTATATGCCTCTTGAATTAATTTGAATTTTTTTTCTGCTTTTTCACGCTCAGAAAGAGGTTTGTTTATATTCTTGTCAGGATGATATAATAAAACTAATTTTCGATATGCTTTTTTTATATCATTAAGAGTTGACATAGTTTTTATTCCTAATAATTTATAATATTCTAAATTATTTGTTTTTGGCATTTTAAAAAAAAAATTAGAAATTATGGTTTAGCAATTTTTAAATTATAAAAAGACTTGTTTTTATAGATTATTTTATTTAATAAAAAATAAAGTGGCAAGAAAAATTTAAAGACTTTGAAGTTGCTTGCACTTAGGAAAAATACAAGAATTTTGATAAATCTAATTACAAACTTAAACAGTAAAGATTAATAATAAACTTTACTATGAAGTTAAAACTCAGAAATCAGTTACTTTTATCTGTTGATATTGACAATTTTGATCTACTTAAAAATTTTACTTGGTGTTAAAAAAATACAAATACTTATTATTATATTTTAATAAAAATCAAAAAAGAAAATAAATAGATAACTATTCGATTTTATCAAATGGTTTATCCAAATTACAAATACCTAACTAATAAAGCTAAAATTTTTTTTGTTAGTTGTTATCACTCACCTTTATCAGCATGTTAAATTTCACTATTGGTTTCTAGAAGAATTAAAAAAATCAGACGTTTTTTCATTATTTACATCAATTCTATATAGAGAAAAATGAAAAATGTAAATTTCTCAGCCAATACTAAACCAATCAAGCTGAAATTTTTCCTGGTAGTTGTTATCACTCACCTTTATCAGTATGTTAAATTTCAATACTGGTTTCTAGAAGAATTAAAAAAATCGGACGTTTTTTCATTATTTACATCAATTCTATATAGAGAAAAATGAAAAATGTAAATTTCTCAGCCAATACTAAACCA